CCACCACCACCACCACCACCACCACCACTATCACCTACATCACTTACGTTCATTTACTCAACGTACTCATTCTTGGGGCCTTGCATCAATTCATTGGGATATGAATTGTGATTGTGAGCCATCCGAATCAGCTCATACGTACAAACGCACATGGGATATTTCCAGTACGGACTTGTTATAGGTGCGCCTGGTAGTTCAGTTGCGGTGCTCATGTTGCGTCATGCTAGCCTGTCTTGTCTTACTCTGCATTACCTTTTATCAGCTTGTGTCACGTCATATTGCACTACGCTATGCAAATTACTGCCTACATATACGCGAATCAAACCAAAGGAGTCCACGATCAGCCACTATATCTGATGCCGCAGACGTGATGACATTCTACTCACTGATGCATTCAAAACACAGAGACTGGCGATATGAGGAAGCTAATAGCAAGCAGCGCATTGAATGTGCAACATCAGCATGGATGCAGTCAATTACTGGGTTAAGTCAGACACTTGGTTATTTTAGTAACACGGACAAACTGAACCAATCACTTTCTGAAAACTTGAAGTCCAGAAACACTGGTAAAGCACTTAGACACTGTGTGCTAGATTGTGTGTGCGCATTGATAATTTGGTGTGATTTAAGAGACAACTGAGCATAAATCATCTGACGACATCGCCTCACTTGTCTGCGGTGACTCCATGATTTTGCTTGGCATTGACACCACACCACTTCCATTCGTTGGTCAGCCAAAGGCATTGCAATCAGATAACATTTGCTTCTATTTGTTTAATGCCCTGGCCAAAATAGTACCTTGGAACCTGCCTGCCACGAGGATGGATTTTGCTCGGATCTGAGGCCACACCACCAACGTCCAAGTAGGCAGATGAGTCTACTAAGCACGAAGTAGTCATGCAATTAAATATGCAGCTAAACAATTGCTGGTGCATTACACGATTATATTTTGTACATGTTGCCCTAGTTATTCTAACCACTAATGTAGCTACATCCTGTTGTTATTCTGACGTAGAGGAGGGTTCAACATCAAAGAATGAGTCCAAAGCATCGACGCGATCAGAAAGTGGGCGCAATAGTCAGGAGTGGCAAAAGGATCCGCAGAGAATTGGTATGTTGTTCAAAAATTAGTGTGCGCATTCATTTCCAGCCTAATTATTGTGAGTCTTAGTCTATGGAAGATACCACTCCTACACGGACACTCAAGTGGAAGACGTAAATGTCCAGAGGCCTAGGTGACTTCTGTAGAGGCATGGGCCACATCGTACTAGTTCTCATCAACATTCGACAAGTGCTCTTGCAATTCGTCAAAACCCATTAAGTTACCACATGTATCACACACGTAATTTTGCCAACCCACTGCGATGCACACTAATGCATTCCTCCACTTTACACACTAACCTCAAATTTTATTTCAGCAAACAAATCTTTTGATCAGAATGCGCTTTCAAATTTCCTCCCATCACTCCAGGTGAAACAATGCACCTTGATGATATCTGGACGCCGGCCTATTACGGAGATGAGGAGAAATTCGATAAAGAAGGAACGAAATCTGGCAAAACGTGGATCCTCTTCTCCACGAAGGACGGTGACCTCAAGTTGATGAAGGGTCTGCAAGGAAAATCCTACCCTATAACCGGTCATTACGAGGTCGAAATTCATGGCCAAGTTTACAAAGGAAACCTGCTCTCTGAATTAATTAAGAATGTGCGAGAAAAGGTGAGACCGTGAGTAACGTAGCCCACCGCTACTACTGATTCCCTCTAGAAGAGTGACACAGGTGAGGCAGAGCAGCGTAAATGTGCCTCACTCGTTTACTACAGGGACTTGAAGCGGTTTGCAGGCTCCAAGAAAATTGAACCATTTGAGAAGAAGGAAGACGCTAAAACCATTGGAAAGGGTGAATTCGGTGAAGTTACATTAAGAAGATATCGGCAGGAGGTGAGTCACTAATGAGGCATGAGCACCACTGAATATGCATTCTCATTTATGAGTCTGCATCTTTCCTGATGCATGGATGATGTATTTGGTGCGACTTCCACTTGGACATTACACGTATTTGGTGCATTGCAGATAATGATGAGTGCAGAGCAGAGGCATAATTCTGGGTAGCAAATGAGCTGCAGATTCGTGCCTATAACTGCGGGGAACGGCAGATATGCTGGCCAATGTTAATTGCAATTATAATTGCCACCGAAGCCACTGCTGCATTGACGCATCTCTTGCAGTGTTCAAAGATTGTCTGGAGCACTTGGCATGCGTTAGGCACCTACAAATCTGAATCTTAATGCAATATTGCAGAGGTTATGTCTGCGCTCGAAATCTGCCCCAAATCACATCCAAGATGCTAAACAATGTTCGGTGATATCAAATACTCACGTCCATTTGCTGTGCTGACAGAAGAAATTGTGTTTGGTGACACCTCAACATGATAGACTGCATGCCAATTAGCGTTAGACTTATATGTAGGGTTAGGCAGACGTTGAATGCTGTGGATAAAATTTTGCGACCAGAGTCGCCACGACACTCGGTCACCCTTGAAACACCTGCACAATTGATTTGGGTTGCCGCATACCTAATGAGTGGCTGAGTGGATGCGAGACTGCGTGGATATGCGGCGGAACGTCTGAGCACTAAATCGCAGAAGTGATTAGTTCGCAATCCACCTCACGTAAAGATGGGTGAGGGCTTAATACAACAAACCAGTGAACGCATGCGTCCACTACCACAACTTTCTGTCATCATGAAGAAGGGTGTCATACCTACTTACAGCAATGACTGCTAATATGCAAGAAGACAAATGAGACTTGCTACTCTATGCAGTGGTGCCACATTGACTAGCCTCCTTATATGTTCAAAAACGCATTTTTGGTGTAAACTCAACATTCTACATGTTTAAACAACTGGAGGAGGTGACGAGTGCTTGCATAGTGATACAATGGGAGCGCATTTGCAGGCCAATGGTAAAACATCGTCAGTGAAAGTGGCGGTGAAGCGAATCAAACAGACGTCCAGACGTGCTCTTGTCGGGGCCATGGAGGTGGCGGTAATGTGCACCCTCCACATGGACTCCACCTGCGACAAGCGGCATCTTCTGCCTCTCGTCGGCTGGTACGTGGAAGCCGAGTATCTCTATGTGGTCACCGAGTTCATGTCTGGTGGCACGTTGTTGGATTACCTCCAATCACTCCAACTGAGGAGTGAGGAGGATGCGGAGGAGAGGGAGGAGAAGGACCATAAGCAGTGTCTTGAATTCCACCGGTTTGTGTCTGAAATCGCCACAGGCATGTGCGTTCTCGAGGCCAAACGGATTCAGCATCGCGATTTGGCAGCCCGCAACATTCTCCTCACTCGCGGTCATCAAATCAAGGTACGCCTACACCACGCGCTCTCGATTAACTGGCACCCTTAAGAAGAGTGGGATACTTAAAAGCTCTATTATGTTACTGCATTTTCATCCACATAGAAATTTCTCCCGTGCTCTTAATTTATCTTCGGGCTACTTTCACATCCAACACTTGTCACTGAATTAACCGTCTACTAATTTCTACTTCTACTGAATATTTGTAAAGTAGTCAATCACACTGTTACTCATCTTGTTTAAAGACAGATTTGTTGTGTTTTGACTTCATGTCAAATCTCGCAGCCCCACAATGTTCATGAGTCGAGCGTTTTGGGTACTCATTTGGTATAGATAAGGGGAGTAGCAATAGAGAAGAAGAATGAAGTTTACAAAAATCCAGGCTTCATGAGCGCTGCTGAATAGAATGCTAATCATCTGGACTTATGCACTTTCACAGATCGGTGATTTTGGG